ACAACCACAAAAAAGAGAAAAACAGTTCCACAAAAACAGATGTTTAAATAAGAGCAACAACTTTCAGAATTAAAATAACTTGTGATTAAAAGAAAGTCCTTATCTTGCCTAATGTAAACATGCTTGCTTGATTTTTATCAGCAGTGCCTACTGCACTGGGACTAAATTAGCAACCTGAACTGGAAGAAGCAGACAAAACCCAGTAGTTGCACTTACTATGCTTAATGTATACACTACAGTGTGTTTTAAATGCAGTACAGTACTTAACTATTTGCAATAATCGTTTCAAAATGGCAGGCTTATTGCTGAAGTCTTTCTATTTGTTCGTTTCCAGCCAGTGTCAGGGAGAGAAAAAGAATAATGCAAAGGCATTCAAGTCATTTTATGAACTTGTTAAAGGTACAGGTTTGTTCGAAAGGAATGGTATTAATGTTGGAATGGACACATTTATTTAATCAGCCATCGCTACAGCCTAGGTACATTAATGCTGTTGGTTAGAGCAAGAAAATGGTCCAACAAAGGAAGAGAACTTAAAATCCGAAAACCCACTATCAAAGAAATATCAAATGATGCAAAGAAGGGGTGATGGTTGCACTGAATTTGAGGATAGCCATCAGTCAAATTGTGTCGGTGTCAGGGGGTGGCAAACTGTGGCCCATGGGCAAAATCTGGCCTCCCACTTGTTTATGTGAATAAAGTTTTATTGAAACACAGTCTGCTTATTCATTTAAATATTGTCTGTGACTGCTTTAATGTTGCAACAGCAGAGTTGAGTAGCTGGAACAGAGACTGGCCCTCAAAGCCGACTAGCCCTTAGCAGAATGAGTTTGCTAACCCCTCATGTATGTCAGCAGCGCCCCTACGATCACCCAGCTGTTCCAGACAGCCCTGCGTGTGGTATGGTAAAACAAACCCTGGTTGAAACTATGACTCCTTAATAGCTAAGAAACCCTGAACTCTCAGAGCTCAGTCTATCCATGAAATAGGGGTTATAAAACCTATCTTATAAACTTAATGTGAGTGTACTGAGGATGATGCTCAATAAATGATAGTTTCCTTGCCAGATGCCCTGAAGTCTACAGCTGTCTAGAAATCAAAGGCTTTTCAATCCCCTCCTCATGGCATTTGCTCTGTAAGACTGATTTGGTTCCTGCTGCTGTGGTCCATCTCATTTCCCACCACTTCACTTTGCAAACCCCAGCCTCCTGTTACTCCTCCAGGTTCAGTTCAGTTTCTCAAAGGCACCAAGTTCTCTTATGCCCACTTGACCTTTGTCCATGGTGTTCTCTTGTCTCAAAGTACTTACTCTTCATTCCTCTCATACTCTACCTGGCCTCTTCCAGACTGTCCTTCAGATCCTATGCTAAATGTCACTGCGTACACGAGGCCCTCCCTGACCACCCAGTGTAACATGAGTCCTGTCCTATGATCTCAGAATACCCGAAGTCTCCCTCCCCTTCATAACCGATATCATGGTTTACGATTTCAGATAATGGATACAGAACATATTTTGGTCTGTTTTAGAAAAATCTTTGTCAGCCTAGCTACTGGGCCACACTCAATGGTTAAAAGAGTGCCTAGCACAGAGTAGGCTTTCAAGAATATATTGTTTCATTCAGCAATCTGTCAATATTTGCCTGTCATTAAAAGGAGTCAGGATAACCTTAAAGAAAAAAAAAACTAAAGTTTTGATTCTGATCACATACTAGCTGCATAATTTGGTACAAGTCACTTTTACCTCTCTGAGCCTCACTTTTCTCATCTGTAAAATGGGATAGGTGTTACCTACCTCACATGTTTATGGCAGAATCCGCTCTGGTAATGAATGAGAAAATACTAAGCAAAGTACGTACTGTGGGACCTCAATAGGTTTGCTGGCTCCAAAAGATATTTGATGGTAAAGCTGTAACCCCAGTGATTCTCCAGATCTTTGGTACTCTCAGTTTTCTTAACTGTAAAATGGGGATAAAAATTATATCCATCTCATATACTACTTATGTGTTAAATGTGTTAATATATGTAAAAAAGAATACTGCCAACCACCTGATAGATACCTAGTAAACATTAGCTATTGTTGTATTTGTGATTATTGTTAATCTTTCAATTCTTAAAAGATTATGAACACTTTTCTGGGGAAAGTGCACATTCTAACAAAATTCTGTAAATAGTTGCAAAGAGTTCACAATTCCCCTGTGCTATCTCTGTATGCTGTAAGTTACCCTTTGCCATTATCTGCCTTTGAGGCCAAATTCTAAAGAAGCAGCTTAGTCAAGGACTTACCTAAAATTATGTCCCAAAATTGTGTGTGTGTGAACTTATCTGACTGAGCTTGCCTAACATTCATTAGATTCTGAAAATGATTACGTTCCCCAAAAAGGGTTTTAGTTGGGATTTTTGTTTGTTCATTTAGGGTTGAGAGGAGCTTGATAAATACCAAAGGCTGTAGCTTTTCTTCTTTGGAAGTTCATTCTTTTAATTGTGGACTGACATCTGCAGCCAGAGTGTATTTTGCAAAGCCAAATACATGCAGACATTTGAAAAACCTGCATTTGGACTGCCCGGCCACCTGCACAGCTGCCAACACTGCCACCACAGACTCCTCCTTGGGAGTAGCTGTCTGGGGTCCAGGGAAGTGTGCAGTGGATCTGGCTCCATAACTGCCTTGCTAGATGATCTTTTTTTTTTGTGAAACAGTAAATAGCAACCCTTGTAATCCTCAGCCGAGAATGTAGAAAAGCCTGCTCCTGAAAGCACCTAGGAATCTCCTGGGAGAGTTTCGGATTCGTAAATAGACCTAGCACTGACTTTTTAAAAATATGCCCTTTGCCAGGGGAGAAAAAAAGACTATTAAAAAGTTTCTATTGGTATTGTCATGGAGCAGCAATTAGGGGTTGTAATAATAAATGAACACGTGAGGCACACATTGAAAATTTGACATGCTTTATAAGTGCCAAGTAATAATAATGATGTCACAAGGCTTTCATTTTCCAACTGTCTTAATTTCATTCTCAGTTTGAGATTGCAGATTACAGTAGTTAATTATTGGCCCAGAGTGAACCCTTAAATCAGATTTCCATTAAAATGCGTGACTGCAACAAATTACTTTACAGGAGGAGAGAATGACATTGTCTCTGGTGGTGTGGGGTCTTCCCATCACTCCTGGTGGTGATTTCTTCTTGGTGCTCCGTGATACACCACATGTCCTAAATGATCCCATGTCCCTGAGCTACACAGCTTGTGTACTTCTGTGTCTTGCTGCTCTTGTAAAAATTCTAACTTCTTTGTTAATATCAAACTCTTTTTCTCCTCTATCTCTCTCTCTCTCTCTATCTCCCTCTCTTTCTCTGTGTCACATTCTCTTATGCTCCCTCTCTCACTGCTGGTCTTTCTCACTGTCTCTCATGCTCTCAGATGGTTGCTCTGTATTTCTCATCTCATGTTTGCTCATGCATTCACTCTTCTCTCTGTCCCTGTCTCCCTTTCCCATCACTCCCCCTCTACACCTGAGGGAGACTTCCAAAGCTTGTCTTCAACCAGCTGTGGAAAGCAAGGAATAAGGCAAAAGAACCAAGTTCCCATCCCTGGCTTCTAGTGCCTGCCACTCTTTACCTCATCTGGATTTTCTCAGGTTACTTCCCAATTCAGCCTGTAGGTCCTGAATGAACTGAACTAACTTGGGTGACAGCTCTGCCTTCATCCTGGCTGCCCTCTTTTACCTAAGTTCCTGCTCACTCTTTCTCTTTGTCACCTGGAACATTACTTCTTCCAAAAGGCCCCTCTCGCTACAGCAGTCTGTACCACTAGTGTTGCCCTGGTCTTAGCTCCGTGAGACTAAGGAGCCAGGATTGTAATTGCCCGTTTGCTGGTCTGCCTCAAACTAGTCTTTGAACTCTTTGAGGGCAGTGATGACATCTTATTCATCTCCATCTCCCAAGCACTAAACTCTGTGCCTGATTTGGGAGATGGCCATTACGTGTCTATTGAAATTAATTTCATTCACTCTTGAAACCGTTATTTATTAGGTGATTACACTATGTCATGGATTGTGCTATAGCTGCTTATAAAAAAAAACTCCTGTTGTAGAGGAGCGCAATGGTGACCCACCAAGAGTGTTGTATCTTGGGCATGGGGATACAGGGTGAGAGGTGAATGTACTATATTGGAGAACAGTTGTCCTTTTTCCAGCACACCTAACAAAGCCACCTATTCATCCACCATTGGAAAAGAGGGCTTTTCCTTGGGTTCAGTACCAGTTGAAGTGGTTGGCTCACTTTTAGGTACACGTTGTTGTATGAAGAGTATCTGTATTTGTCAGATGCTCGTTAAACACAATGAGATAACTGACATGAAGGACTCATGGGAACTGATACTAAATGAGGCAATACCAGAATCACAGCTCATATCTGACTCTTGCTCCAGGGTATACATCTACTGAGAAGCATTGGATCACAGGGTCAGGGGCATCTTCCTGCCTCTTGTGCCTCACTCCTGCCTATGTGGATGACTTCACATATGTTTGCTGTGTGTGGTGTGCCTACTCTATAGAACAATCATACTGTTTTAGATGGATTAAATAGAATAATTCACCCTAACTTGATGACACAGAAAAGCTTCACTGAGACGTTGTTGACATCTGAACTCATCCCTAAGGAATGTGCAGGTTGCACCATGGAAGAGGTATAGAGGAGCCACTGTGTACTTTACTAGAAAGCTTAGTTCTTCTACAAAAACTGAATGAGCCTCAGCTCTTTCTGAGCTTCTCTCTTGGACCCTGTGGAGTCGTTACTGCTCTTGAGTGGTTTTTGTCTTCCATTGTTCTGGCAAGCTCCTCTCCATCCCACAGCTATTTGAAAACTACTGCTGTAGCAGGCCTCAATACTCACAGCATTTAATAGCCATCATTAGAAAGCAAGCTTCTGCTTACCAGTCAGCCTGCTGTGAATGGTAATGGGAGATTTCTTTTTTGGGAGTAGCTCCAGTGTCTAATTGGTTTGGAAAATATTGCTCATTTATTTTAGTCTTAAAACATTACCTTTATACTGAACTTCAATAAGTTTGTGTTTCTGTTACATTCAAATTCAACATAGCTGCAGTCTACTAAAAGGTTTTCTTCTTATACTGCTGTCTAGGTAACCTGTCCACTTTCACCATAGCTTGTTGAAATAAATGCATGTGTAAATATCCATTAGGTACCTTACAGGCATGTAATAAGCATCTCACACGTCTTATTTAGGCCTTTCAACAACTTTATGGACTAGGTACTATTATTCCCATTTTATAGGTGAGGAAACCATGTTCGAGGCAGGGTGTGGCCCTTGCCCAAGATTCCAGCTCTAGCAGCTGGCATGAATGAAGAATCAGTAGGCAATCTAGAGCCTGACTTTGAGCCTTACCACTGCTACTTGTTAGCTATGTAACACTGGGACACATCATGTGAATTTTCTGAATGGCTTTATCACCTGTAGAGGGCTAACCATCACTGTACTTACTGTACTGTAATGCAGGGATCAAAATTAAAAATGAGGGTTCATGTAATGGCACTTTTTAAAGAGTTAAGTGCCGAACAAATGTAAGGTATCTTTTCCTCATATGTTTTGTGTAGTTAATTTAGCATATTGAAATAATGGGATTTAAAAATGGCATGCAGCACACACATATATGCTTTGCGATTAGTGTAGCATAATTTAATTGTGACTCCATTGTTGGAATTTTGATGCCTCCAGCTTGATGAATAGCCATTATCTGTGGGTGTTATCAGTTAATCTAGGTAATGAATTCTCTTCATTATCTCGTTCTTCATGTTAATTATACAGGATTTTCTTATAACTATTTATCAAGTCAGGGCAAGTACAATTTTTTTGGCCCACATGCCTCTTAGTATGGAATATGTATAAGCAGGTTAACATGATGGGTTTAAATTCACATTTCTGAAAAATTCTAATCAGTGGCTTGACTTTTCTTATATCCTTGTTAGTGTGGGCTTGTATCTTTTTATTTTGGGGGTCTTTTTTTTTAATCAAAAAGGTCATTATATAAGATAATTAAGCTATCTCTGACTTTTGAGAATATACCTCTAGCATATTAAAGAGGTATTAAGGAAGCATAGAAAAATTGGAATTTTTACCTAATAATACAAAGCAACAAATAATTAATGTTACTAGTTTTGAAATATTTTATGAGGTACCAGGACAGGTAAAAATTCAAGTATAAGCCATGGAGGGAAAAGATGTAACTACATGAAATTTTAAATGTCACTATGCATAAATAACATCGATTACATCTTACCGTATGTTACATCTTACAGAAAAACCCAAACGAACTTTCTGGCCAGCCCAATATAAGACACAGCAGAAGACAGTGTATAAGAAATGAGTGGTGACTGAATTCATTTTGAATTCAGAGAAGTGATTGATAGGATAATCTGGATTAATATGATAATGTTATATATTGATATTTATTAATTAAATACTAAATTTTAACTTTACCATTTTCTGGGTCTTGTTTTATAGCTCCTATTCGGTTTTTTTTTAAAGATGATTATTTTAATTGTCTCTGTTGTTTAGCCAATTATTTGGGGGAATGTTGACTGTCAGCATTTTGATGGGCACCTTCCTATTTTTTATTTCAGGTTGAAGCCATCCTAGTCAATATTTTTGGCGGAATCGTCAACTGTGCCATCATTGCCAATGGGATCACCAGAGCCTGCCGGGAGCTGGAACTCAAGGTGCCGCTGGTGGTCCGGCTTGAAGGTAAGTTACTGTAGATTTCCACAGTGCCAGTACCCACCTTCTTCAGGATCAGGTGACCAGCATGTTCTGCATTCACAAACTTCCTGAGACAAACATTAGGAAACACTGTATTACATAAGATGAAGCAAATGCAGAACTTCTCTGAGCTTTTAATCTGCATTGCAGCTCTCCAAGAATGGCACATGTTATGAGTCTCCAAATTTTCCAAACATATTCCAGGGTGGAGCCCTTTTTTTATGAATCATATCATGAGATTAGTGTTCTGGGAAAAACACTCTTAGAAATGCTGCTCCAAGAATTTTTCATTATGAGACACCAAGGGTTCTCAAACTTTGTGGTCTGAGGACTCCCTACTTGTTAAACTGGAGAACCCCAAAGATCTCTTGTTTATTTTGGGTTATATCTGTTGATATTTATTAATTTATTTAACTGATTAATAAATTAATCTGGTAAGAGGAATAACTACTTGGAACTTTTTAAATACTCACTTTTTAAATAATAAACTTTTAATTTTTGTATTACATATTTTACATGTAAGTATATAAACTATATAATTTATGAAGAATTAAATATATCTTTTAAAAATTTTAGTAAGAATAGCAGCACTGTTTTATGGCTTTGCAAATCCCTTTAATATCTAGCTTAATATTTGCTTCTGCAACAGATCTGTTGCAATATGCTGTTTTGGTGGAAGTATATGAAGAAAATCTGGCCTCATAGAGCTATGTATCTGGAAAACAGAGCAGTTTTTAATAATCATTTCATATAATTCTGAATATTATTCTTTGATACTACACTAAAACCTTTAACAGTGTCTTTATTACAGATAGGTTTTAACATAGAATCTGAAACTATTTCAATGAACTTTTTTTTTGAATTTTTAAAAACTTTTATTTGTTTATTTTTAACATCTTTATTAGAGTATAATTGCTTTACAATGGTGTGTTAGTTTCTGCTGTATAACAAAGTGAATCAACTAATACGTATACGTATATCCCCAAATCCCCTCCCTCTTGCGTCTCCCTCATACCCTCCCTATCCCACCCCTCTAGGTGATCAGAAACCACCGAGCTGATCTCCCTGTGCTATGTGGCTGCTTCCCACTAGCTATCTGTTTTACATTTGGTAGTGCGTATATGTCCATGCCACTCTCTCACTTTGTCCCAGATTACCCTTCCCCCTCCTGTGTCCTCAAGTCCATTCTCTACATCTGCGTCCTTATTCCTGTCCTTACCCTAGGTTCTTCAGAACCATTTTTTTTCTTTTTTTTTTATAGATTCCATATATAGGTGTTAGCATATGGTATTTTTCTCTTTCTGCCTTATTTCACTCTGTATGACAGACTCAAGGTCCATCCACCTCACTACAAATAACTCAATTTCGTTTCTTTTTATGGCTAATATTCCATTGTATACATGTGCCACATATTCTTTATCCATTCATCTGTCAATGGACATTGAGGTTGCTTCCATATCCTGGCTATTGTAATTAGATGTGCAATGAACATTGTGGTACTTGACTCTTTTTGAATTATGGTTTCCTCAGGGTATATGCCGAGTAATGGGATTGCTGGGTCGTATGGTAGTTCTATTTTTAGTTTTTTAAGGAACCTCCATACTGTTCTCCATAGTGGCTGTATCAGTTTACATTCCCACCAACAGTGCAAGAGGGTTCCCTTTTCTCCACAACCTCTCCAGCATTTATTGTTTGTAGGTTTTTTGATGATGGCTGTTCTGACCAGTGTGAGGTGATACCTCATTGTAGTTTTGATTTGCATTTCTCTAATGGTTAGTGATGTTGAGCATTCTTTCATGTGTTTGTTGGCAATCTGTATATCTTCTTTGGAGAAATGTCTGTTTAGATCTTCTGCCCATTTTTGGATTGGGTTGTTTGTTTTTTTGATATTGAGCTGCATGAGCTGCTTGTATATTTTGGAGATTAATCCTTTGTCAGTTGCTTCGTTAGCAAATATTTTCTCCTAATCTGAGCATTGTCTTTTCGTCTTGTTTATGGTTTCCTTTGCTGTGCAAAAGCTTTTAAGTTTCATTAGATGCCATTTCTTTATTTTTGTTTTTATTTCCACTTCTCTGGGAGGTGGGTCAAAAAGGATCTTGCTGTGATTTATGTCATAGAGTGTTCTGCCTGTGTTTTCCTCTAAGACTTTTATAGTGTCTGGCCTTACATTTAGGTCATTAATCCATTTTCAGTGTACTGTTGTGTATGGTGTTAGGGAGTGTTCTAATTTCATTCTTTTACATGTAGCTGTCCAGTTTTCCCAGCACCACTTATTGAAGAGGCTGTCTTTTCTCCACTGTATATTCTTGCCTCCTTTATCAAACATAAGGTGACCATATGTGCATGGGTTTATGTCTGGGCTTTCTATCCTGTTCCATTGATCTATCTTTCTGTTTTTGTGCCAGTACCATACTGTCTTGATTACTGTAGCTTTGTAATATAGTCTGAAGTCAGGGAGCCTGAATCCTCCAGCTCCTTTTTTCTTTCTCAAGATTGCTTTGGCTATTCGGGGTCTTTCGTGTTTCCATACAAAGTATGAAATTTTTTGTTCTAGTTCTGTGAAAAGTGCCATTGGTATTTTGATAGGGATTGCATTGAATCTATAGATTGCTTTGGGTAGTATAGTCATTTTCACAATGTTGATTCTTCCAATCCAAGAACATGGTATATCTCTCTATCTGTTTGTAGTATCTTAAATTTCTTTCATCAGTGTCTTATAGTTTTCTGCATACAGGTCTTTTGTCTCCTTAGGTAGGTTTATTCCTAGGTATTTTATTCTTTTGCTGCAATGGTAAATGAGAGTGTTTTCTTAATTTCTCTTTCAGATTTTTCATCATTAGTATATAGGAATGCAAGAGATTTCTGTGCATTAATTTTGTGTCCTGCTGCTTTACCAAATTCATTGATTAGCTCTAGTAGTTTTCTGGTAGCATCTTTAGGATTCTCTGTTTATAGTATCATGTCATCTGCAGACAGTGACAGTTTTATTTCTTCTTTTCTGATTTGGCTTCCTTTTATTTCTTTTTCTTCTCTGATTGCTGTGGCTAAAACTTCCAAAACTTTGTTGAATAATAGTGGTGAGAGTGGGAAACCTTGTCGTGTTCCTGATCTTCATGGAAATGCTTTCAGCTTTTCACCATTGAGAATGATGTTTGCTGTGGGTTTGTCATATATCGCCTTTATTATGTTGAGGTAAGTTCCCTCTATGCCTACTTTCTGGAGGGTTTTTATCATAAACGGGTGTTGAATTTTGTTGAAAGCTTTTTCTGCATCTTTTGAGATGATGATATGGTTTTTCTCCTTCAGTTTGTTAATATGGTGTGCCACATTGATTGTTTTGCCTATATTGAAGAATCCTTGCATTCCTGGGATAAACCCCACTTGATCATGGTGTATGATCCTCTTACTGTTTCGTTGGATTCTGTTTGCTAGTATTTTGTTGAGGATTTTTGCATCTATATTCATTAGTGATATTGCCCTGTAGTTTTCTTTTTTTGTGACATCTTTCTCTGGTTTTGGTATCAGGGTGATGGTGGCCTTGTAGAATGAGTTTGGAAGAGTTCCTCCCTCTTCTATATTTTGGAAGAGTTTGAGAAGGACAGATGTTAGCTCTTCTCTAAATGTTTGATAGAATTCACCTGTGAAGCCATCTGGTCCTGTGCTTTTGTGTATTGGAAGATTTTTAATCACAGTTTCAATTTCAGTGCTTGTGATTGGTCTGTTTATATTTTCTATTTCTTCCTGGTTCAGTCTTGGAAGGTTGTGCTTTTCTAAGAATTTGTCTCTTTCTTCCAGATTGTCCATTTTATTGGCATATAGTTAGTAATCTCTCATGACCCTTTGTATTTCTGCAGTGTCAGTTGTTACTTCTCCTTTTTCTTTTCTAATTCTATTGATTTGAGTGTTTTCCCTTTTTTTCTTGATGAGTCTGGCTAATGGTTTATCATTTTTATCTTCTCAAAGAACCAGCTTTTAGTTTCATTGATCTTTGCTATTGTTTCCTTCATTTCTTTTTCATTTATTTCTGATCTGATCTTTATGATTTCTTTCCTTCTGCTAACTTTAGGGTTTTTTTGTTCTTAACTCTGATTGCTTTAGGTGTAAGGTTAGGTTGTTTATTTGAGATGTTTCTTGTTTCCTGAGATAGGATGGTACTGCTATAAACTTCCCTCTTATAACTGCTTTTGCTGCATCCCATAGGTTTTAGGCCATCATGTTTTCATTGTCATTTGTTTGTAGGTATTTTTTGATTTCCTCTTTGGTTTCTTCAGTGATCTCTTGGTTATTTAGTAATGTATTGTTTAGCCTCCATGTGTTTGTATTTTTTATAGTTCTTTTCCTGTAGTTGATATGTAGTCCCATTGCGTTGTGGTCAGAAAAGATACTTGATACGATTTCAATTTTCTTAAATTTACCAAGGCTTGATTTGTTTCCCAAGATATGATCTATCCTGGAGAATGTTCCATGAGCACTTGAGAAGAAAGTGTATTCTGTTGATTTTGGATGGAATGTCCTATAAATAGCAGTTAAGTCCATCTTGTTTAATGTGTCATTTAAAGCTTGTGTTTCTTATTTATTTTCATTTTGGATGATCTGTCCATTGGTGAAAGTGGGATGTTAAAGTCCCCTACTATGATTGCGTTACTCTCAGTTTCTCCTTTTATGGCTGTTAGCATTTGCCTTATGTATTGAGGTGCTCATATGTTGGGTGCATACATATTTACAATTGTTATATCTTCTTCTTGGATTGATCCCTTGATCATTATGTAGTGTCCTTCTTTGTCTCTTGTAATAGTCTTTATTTTAAGGTCTATTTTGTCTGATAGGAGAATTGCTCCTCCAGCTTTCCTTTGATTTCCGTTTGCATGGAATATCTTTTTTCCATCCCTTCACTTTCAGTCTCTGTGTGTCCCTAGGTCTGAATTGGGTCTCTTGTAGACAGCATATATACGGGTCTTGTTTTTGTATCCATTCAGCCAGTCTCT